CACTGAGAAGACTTAGTTGGCCGACGCACAAAAACTGTCGGCTTGGTGTGTTCCAGGCTTTAGGGTTTCGTGGAGAGGTGAGGTGTCTAAGTCGCAACATCTAGCAACTGGGGTGCCTCAGGGCTCAGTGCTGGGACCACTTCTCTTCTCCATCTACATGTCATCACTAGGATCTGTCATTCTGAAATATGGGTTTGCCTATCACTGTTCTGCTTACGACACACAACTCTACCTCTCATTCCTGATAGATGATCCGACGGCTCGCATCTCAGCCTGCCTGACAGACATTTATTGCTGGATGAAGGACCACCACCTTCAACTCAACCTGGAAAAGACAGAGCTGCCTGTGGTTTCAGTCAACCCAACACTACACCACAACTTCTCCATTCAGCTGTAGGTTCATCATCCATAACTCCAGCCAGGAACCCTTGGAGTTGTGATTGATGATCAGTTAAACTTCACAGACACATTGCTAGAAGTCCCAGTCCTGAGATTTACCTTCTACAACATTAGAAGATCAGGCCCTTCCTATCGGAGATACACAACTCCTGGTCCAAGCTCTTGTTCAATCCAGACTCGACTATTATAATGGGATCCTTCCAGCATCACTGTCAAACCTCTGCAACTGATCCAGACGCTGCAGCGTGTCTTTATCAAGTCGAAGACACACACGTCACACATCTCTCCTCATAAACTGGTGTTTACAGAACAACCACTGGCTCTGCTCCTCTACACCTAAACTCACTACTTCAGACCGATGTGTCTCCAGAAGCTTGAGTTCTGCAAGTGAATGGTGTCTTGTGGTGCCATCATCCCAAAGAGGCACAAAATCACTTTCCCGAACCTTGATCTGGACTGTTCCTGCTGGTGAAAGGTCTCCACCCTGGCCACCCGAAGGGGCGTCTCCGCCATGGCCACCTGAAGGGGCGTCTCCTCCATGGCCACCTGAAGGGTCTTCTCCTCCATGGCCACCCGAAGGGTCGTCTCCGCCATGGCCACCTGAAGGGTCGTCTCCTCCATGGCCACCCAAAGGGTCGTCTCCTCCATGGCCACCCGAAGGGGCGTCTCCTCCATGGCCACCCGAAGGATCGTCTCCGCCATGGCCACCCGAAGGGTCGTCTCCTCCATGGCCACCCGAAGGGTCGTCTCCTCCATGGCCACCCTTCGGGTCGTCTCCTCCATGGCCACCCTTCGGGTCGTCTCCTCCATGGCCACCCTTCGGGTCGTCTCCTCCATGGCCACCCGAAGGGTCGTCTCCTCCATGACCACCCAAAGGGTCGTCTCCTCCATGGCCACCCGAAGGGGCGTCTCCTCCATGGCTACCCGAAGGGTCGTCTCCGCCATGGCCACCCGAAGGGTCGTCTCCTCCATGGCCACCCGAAGGGTCGTCTCCGCCATGGCCATCCGAAGGGTCGTCTCCGCCATGGCCACCCGAAGGGTCGTCTCCTCCATGGCCACCCGAAGGGTCGTCTCCTCCATGGCCACCCGAAGGGGCGTCTCCTCCATGGCCACCCGAAGGTTCGTCTCCGCCATGGCCACCCGAAGGGTCGTCTCCTCCATGGCCACCCGAAGGGTCGTCTCCGCCATGGCCACCCGAAGGGTCGTCTCCTCCATGGCCGCCCGAAGGGTCGTCTCCGCCATGGCCACCCGAAGGGGCGTCTCCTCCATGGCCACCCGAAGGGTCGTCTCCTCCATGGCCACCCGAAGGGTCATCTCCGCCATGGCCACCCGAAGGGTCGTCTCCTCCATGACCACCCAAAGGGTCGTCTCCTCCATGGCCACCCGAAGGGTCGTCTCCGCCATGGCCACCCGAAGGGTCGTCTCCTCCATGGCCACCCGAAGGGTCGTCTCCTCCATGGCCACCCGAAGGGTCGTCTCCGCCATGGCCACCCGAAGGGTCGTCTCCGCCATGGCCACCCGAAGGGTCGTCTCCGCCATGGCCACCCGAAGGGTCGTCTCCTCCATGGCCACCCGAAGGGTCGTCTCCTCCATGGCCACCCGAAGGGGCGTCTCCTCCATGGCCACCCGAAGGTTCGTCTCCGCCATGGCCACCCGAAGGGTCGTCTCCTCCATGGCCACCCGAAGGGTCGTCTCCGCCATGGCCACCCGAAGGGTCGTCTCCTCCATGGCCGCCCGAAGGGTCGTCTCCGCCATGGCCACCCGAAGGGGCGTCTCCTCCATGGCCACCCGAAGGGTCGTCTCCTCCATGGCCACCCGAAGGGTCATCTCCGCCATGGCCACCCGAAGGGTCGTCTCCTCCATGACCACCCAAAGGGTCGTCTCCGCCATGGCCACCCGAAGGGTCGTCTCCGCCATGGCCACACGAAGGGTCATCTCCTCCATGGCCACCCGAAGGGTCGTCTCCGCCATGGCCACCCGAAGGGTCGTCTCCTCCATGGCCACCCGAAGGGGCGTCTCCTCCATGGCCACCCGAAGGGTCGTCTCCGCCATGGCCACCCGAAGGGTCGTCTCCTCCATGGCCACCCGAAGGGTCGTCTCCGCCATGGCCACCCGAAGGGTCGTCTCCTCCATGGCCACCCGAAGGGTCGTCTCCTCCATGGCCACCCGAAGGGTCGTCTCCTCCATGGCCACTCGAAGGGTCGTCTCCTCCATGGCCACCCGAAGGGTCGTCTCCTCCATGGCCACCCGAAGGGTCATCTCCGCCATGGCCACCCGAAGGGTCGTCTCCGCCATGGCCACCCGAAGGGTCGTCTCCTCCGTGGCCACCCGAAGTGTCGTCTCCTCCATGGCCACCCGAAGGGGCGTCTCCTCCATGGCCACCCGAAGGGTCGTCTCCTCCGTGGCCACCCGAAGGGTCGTCTCCACCCTGCCCGCCCGAGGGAAAGTGTCCGCCCTGGCCGCCAGCACATCCTGCTCCGCCCTGGAGGCTTCCTGCTCCGGTTTAAATTCCTGTCCTCCTGTTCCTCATCGTCTTCCTTGTGTTTCCTCCACCACGTCCCGTAACACCACTACAATAAGCTGTATAAAACATGCGTTCACTCGATTAATTTTGAGCATCCAGATGGTATAATCAAATCTTGTGGAGCGCTCTCTGAGAATGCATTTATTTGTCATTTTAAATGAAACAGAGCGTAAAAGTGGCCTTTCTTATCGTGTTGCGCCCTCTATAGGCCATGAATGATCGGCGACTTACATATTGTTGCCCTATTGTTGGTTTGATTGCTTTGATTAATAGTAGAATTTGTAAGTCGCTTTGAATAAAAGCATCTGCTAAATGATTAAATGTTGCCGTCGTCGTGTTCTGACTTCCGGTTTGTATTTTCACAGCATGAAGGTAAGATCTTACAGATTTATGAATTCAGGGCCGGTAAGTAATTATAAGTTGAATGAATAACTGGCAGGTCTGTTTTTATAAATGTTCATGATAAATGTTCAGTGTTATTTTCTTCTGTGAATGAGTGGGTTGAGTTGAGCGATTATGTTGGAGCTTGCGTCTGGCTGAATGAATATTTAATTGCCTTAATTTACTAATTAGAAGATTATATGAGGGATCACAGAGAGACTTACCCATTCGACCTCCTGCATCTTCCTCTCATCTATTATCTTCTGTTTTCTCTCAGTTTCAGCCTGACATCTGTCAGTCCACATCCCCCCCCCTCTCTCTCTCTCTCTCTCTCTCTCTCTCTCTCTCTCTCTCTCTCTCTCTCTCTCTCGCCTGCAGATATATCTGTCCGCTCTGTTAAGATGCTTTTACAGACGATTATTGTCCCTGTCCATGGGATCAAATCTGTTTGGCACAAAAGACCTCTGATCAGGAGGTTTATTGCTGTAGCATATTTTAGAGCTATAAATATAGTTGGGGTTAGTGAATAAGAATTAGAAATGTCCAAAAAAATTAAAGTATAGTTTTTTTTCCTTCTATTTATTTGACACAACATGAGTTGTCATTAAATCGTTACACACTGATGATTTATGATTCATTCTCCCTGACCCACTGATGTGCATAAAATGAATCATCATCTTCCACTCTCCCACTGTGGATGCTTATCAAAAGAGGGGCTTACATTTGTTAGCAGTTTGTTATTTGACCAGGATAATTAGATTAGATTAAAGCATGCATCTGTACACAAGAGAAATTCCTGCCTTCGACAACAAAGCAAAACATTAAAAATAACAAAATCCAGAGTGACTAAACTGAAATGAAAAATTTAAAATTAAATAAAGCTATAATAGGACAGAAATTTGGTGTGTTTAAAACATAAATGTTTCACTGTAAACCCCCCCCCCCCCCCCACCACCACCACAACCACCACCAATTTCCACTTAAAAACTCAGGTTCAGTTGCTTTCTTACATTTTTTTATATATTTTTTACTTTATTTGTACAAGTCATTTAAACTGTACTTACATTAAACCGTGTTAAAAAAAATATAGTTGAATTGCCTTTAACTTATAAAAAAAAGTTGAAATGGCATTTTTTTTGACGAGTTAAAGTAGTGTAAAAATATAAATTGCCTTGACTTAGACCTACCAATCATATCGTTAGAGATGAGAGAGAGAGAGTGGAGGAATAACATGTGCCAGAGAAACCAGCGCTCAGCCATCTTTAGTTCATTGTGTTTGAAACTTCTGTTTTTGCGGTAGCTCTATTGTAGAGTTAACGAAAGTTATCATGTGTGCATTGTAATGTTTGAAGCGGATGTATTCATGAACGAGCGGTTCATTCATAAATCTGTAAGATCTTACCTTCATGCTGTGGAAATACAAACCGGAAGTCAGAACACGACAAGTGCAGCGCTGAAAGGGGGAGGGGGGGGGTACATACTCTATATGGGGGGAGAGAGAGAGAGAGAGAGAGAGAGAGAGAGAGAGAGAGAGAGAGAGAGAGAGAGAGAGAGAGAGAGAGAGAAAGAGAGAGAGTGTGAGAGAGAGAGAGTGAGAGTGAGAGAGAGAATGGAGGGAGGGAGTCAGACAAGCCAAACATCAAGAATCACACACACACACACACACACACACACACACACACACACACAGTGTAGCGTTCGCTGAGAGAAACAGCAGCAGCATCATTTCTGCTCATGTTTCTGAGTTTGAGGGAATAACTTCCACAAGCTCAACATCTGTCTGAACATCAGTGATCAGGTGAGGGATCTCTCCTCTTCTCCCCGATGTGTGTTTCTTTTCCTTAGGAGTCTAGATTAACATCACATTTATTTTGATGTGGTGGAAGCTTGTTATCTTTGTATTATTTTTCCCTTGGGTGAATTAATTGAAACAAAATGTATTTATTTTTTTCTCTGTGGCTGGGTTGTATGCCAGTATGTCAGTGACTTAACTGTCTGAGTAGATTAATGCATTAATAACCATCTGTCTCGGTTTGTCTGTCACTCGTGTTCTCTTTCGCTCTGATTTTTCGCTCTGTCAAATTTTCAAGTTACCTAAGCATTTTTAAATTGTTGATACCCAGTAGTAATAGGATACAGCAACTGTCAATTTGATTGATTGCAGGTGGGCGTGTCTATCCTTTGATCTTCCCCCGCCCCTTCCGGTTCCTCCCCTTCCTGTCCCGCCCCTCGTCCCGCCCCTTCCGGTTCCTCCCCTTCCTGTCCCACCCCTTGTCCCACCCCTTCCGGTTCCTCCCCTTCCGGTTACCTTTGACCTAGTTTCCGCCCCTTCCTGTTACAGCTTCTGTCAAAATGATGGATGATGACCTTTATCTAGTTCCGCCCCTTGTGGTTACAGCTTCTGTCAAAATGATGAACTGTTTGAAGTTTGTTTGATCTAGTTCCGCCCCTTGCAGTTAAAAAGTTTCTGTCAAAATGATGGATTGTTTGAAGTTTGTTTGATCTAGTTCCGCCCCTTGCGGCTACAGCTTCTGTCAAAAATGATGACAGTTTGTTTAATCGTTTGAAGTTAGTGTTTTGTTACAAAGCGATGGATTGTTATTTTTTAGCGCATCCCCTCGCTATGCCTAAGCTTATCATAGCAGGTGTGTGTGTGAAAGTGATAAGAAAAACTATGAAAGTTTATCTGACACAAACGTAAAAAATAAATGTATTCAGTGAAGCATTTCCGATTAAAAAACGGAGACATTAAAATTGTATTAGAGTTGAATAATATAAAACATACAGTTTATGTAAAACCTCACCCCAAAAAGTTGAAACAGTTGTTGAACAGTTGTAAACATGTATGAATGATCTCCCTCTGCCTCAAAACATAGGGAGCGCGCCTCTATGTGTATGTGTGTGTGTGTGTGTGTGTGTGTGTGTGTGTGTGTGTCTTTTGTCAGAGCAGTAAAGGATGCGCCGCGTGCACTTATCTGCCTGTTTAGATAAAATAAAATAATCTTACATGTTTTACAGAGTTGGAAGAAAAATCCCACACGGTAGCGCCGGATCTCTCTGAAAACTATCTCCAATTATATTTTTTTTTTGGACCGTAACCAGCTAGGGAGTCGTGTGTGTGTGTGTGTGTGTGTGTGTGTGTGTGTGTGTGTGTGTGTGTGTGTGTGTGCCAAAGCAGGAATCCCCGTCCCCCGCATTGCTGGAAGTGTATCTCACACATAAGTTGAAAAAGCATGTTGTTCCTTTAAAAGTGTTTAAATTAAAATATATAAATAGCTTACTAATTTAACTAAAAGTTGAAAAGCATGCTGTTCATTTAAAATCTTACTATTTTAACTAAAAGTTGAAAATCATGTTGTTCATTTAAAATCTTACTAAAACACTGAAGTTGAAAATCATGGTGCTCATTAAAAATAATCAAGGCTGTAATTCATCTCAAAACAAAAAGGTACTGTGCCGAACGCTATCTCTTCCGTATAGGGAGTGAAACATGAAATACAGCTTGTCTGATGTACCTCGCAGTTCACGGACGTGCCGCTTGATAAGACGCTAACATGCGCGGTGCAATGGCGACATCTAGTGGACACTGAATAGTGTTTTTACACCAATAGGTATCATATTTCATATATAAAGAACTGTCCTCACGCCAAAAATTATCAGAAACTGCTTTTCCTGACTCTGCCAGATCATCTCATCATCAAAATGCAAAACAGTGAGTATTTTCTCTATAATTCATTTATGCTTATATGATTTTGTTCCAACATCTGCATTGTGCTATATTGCTGTGAGTCTAATATGATTGTTTTTAAAACAGTCATTCATTATGATATTATATTGTTTTATCTGGAAAATTTAAATGTAGAACAGATTGGTATAAATGTTTTGCTGGATAGTTCTATATGCAATGTGTTAAAACACAATTTGTGACTATAACACTGTTTCATCTAAAAGATTTAAAACATCATTAATATAAATGATTTTTAAAATCTGTTATAGTGTTTTAAACTTTCATTTGACTACGTGGGTTTTATCTGTTATACTGTTTTAAGCTATCATTGGACTACGGGGTTTTATCTGTTATAATAATAACTTGATTTTTAAGCTGGTGATTTTCAATCCTATGCTGTTTTAATCATGAGATGTGCTATTGACTTTATTTTTAAAAGATTGTTTATTCATTAGTTTTAAACATATATTAATTGTGCTATTGATATTAATATATTAATATGATTTTTCGAGCGTATAAGCAATTTTTTTTTTTTTTTTTTTTTACCATTGGTTTTATCCAGCGGCTTTTATTATGAAAAGACTAGGCCTTTTCTAGCAGGAAGTGTGTGGTTAGCTAGCGGCTATGCTATGATTCTGTTTTGCTATCTATCATTTCTGTTTGCATTAAATCATCGGTTCGGCATTGGACTACTCATTTTGTTTTTATTAAAACAGCGCTCGTGATTATTAGGCATGACTTAGCAGCGCTCATGTTAGAAATGTATGGTTTAGCAGCGTGTGCTATGTCACTAAGTGCTCTTAAATATGGTTGATATCATGTATCATAACTAGTTATGAACCGTATCTGTTTCACAAGGCAGATCGATCTGTTTCTGATATATTGGCATGTTATTTTTAGACCTAAAAAGCTTGTTTTATTCACTGTGTTAAACACATGTTGTCGATACACGAACTAACCAGCTCTCCTGCGCCATCCGCTGCCCCGTAGTTGAAACTAAATCCTGTTATGACTAAATGTCTTCCTCTAGTCATCTCAAATGTTAAAACATGTAGTTTTGGGGAGATGGCTCCCTCTAGTGAGAGTCAAATGTTAAAACATGTAGTTTTTGGGATGGCTCCCTCTAGTGAGAGTCAAATGTTAAAACATGCAGTTTTTGGGATGGCTCCCTCTAGTGAGACTCAAATGTTAAAACATGTAGTTTTTGGGATGGCTCCCTCTAGTGAGAGTCAAATGTTAAAACATGCAGTTTTTGGGATGGCTCCCTCTAGTGAGACTCAAATGTTAAAACATGTAGTTTTTGGGATGGCTCCCTCTAGTGAGAGTCAAATGTTAAAACATGTAGTTTTTGGGATGGCTCCCTCTAGTGAGAGTCAAATGTTAAAACATGTAGTTTTTGGGATGGCTCCCTCTAGTGAGACTCAAATGTTAAAACATGTAGTTTTTGGGATGGCTCCCTCTAGTGGTGGTGTGAGATATAACATGCTGAAAATAATGATGTTTTTATTTTATTTTGAATGATTATTATATTTAATTTTGTAATAATTTTTTAATTAATATTTTATTTTAATTACTTTTTGTTAATTAATATTTTTTTTTTTTTTTTTTTTTTTTTTTTTTTTTTAATTAAATTTTTTTTTTTTTTTTTTTTATAATTTTTTTTTTTATAATTTTTTTTTTTTTTTTTTTATAACGCATCTGTCTGTAGGCGTGTCATCAGACAAGCATATAAAACGACTCACAAGTGTTTCCATTTATAACAGGATTTTTTCCCCCCAGGTCCGAATTCTGAGAGCGCCGCTTACGATGACGCCGATACATGTGAGGCCTGATCTTTTTCTTTCTGTTACAAATTATTAAAGCAATTTTAAATAAATTAAAATGTAATTCTCTCTTTTTTTAAATTCGCACCAGCTACTCCGGTGATTGATGCAAACAACAGAGCGGATGGTAAAACAAGACCTATCGTCGATGTAATTTTTTTCCTAACGCCTATGCGAAATCTAATTTATTTATTTATTTTAGATTTCATACATCTGTCGGATCCCACTCAAGAAGATAATGAAGACCCCATCATTGATGTAGATGCAGCTGACCCTGCTCCGGTGTATACTGAGGATCAAATAGCCCTTACCGACTCGGCCTTAGACCAGCGCCCCGGACCAAGCGGTGAGCCTTTGAGAAAGAAGACTAGGAAATCTTCTCGTTCTACCTCACCGGCCAGTCCTGAGAGAAAAACGCGACGTTTTACCCCAGCGATCAGTCCTGAAAGCAGTCCTGACAGGAAAACTTTATGTCCGACTCCAGTGAACAGTCCTGACCCGAGTCTTGACAGTGTATTTCTTTATGGTGAGACTATCTACATTATTTTGTATTTAAACTCAAATTGAGTCATACCATTAAGATTTTGAGTCATATTTCTACACAGCTGGGTCCGGTAGAAGCCCTGACAACGTGACACGTTGGAAGACACCTCAACGCATCGATTTTGAGCAGAGTTCTTGGACAAACGAGGGTCGATCGACGTATCCTTTTCTCACACCGCCGGAAGAAGATCCAGCTGCGCATCCCCCAACTGATGAACCACGCAATGATAGTTCTCTGACTCTGAGGCTCATTAATGCAGTAGAGACATTGGTGAAAGAGGTTCGTGAGGGACGGGCTGATTTAGATAACAAATTTATCGAACTACGTGATGGCCAAGATGCTATAAATGCCAAATTGATTAAGCTGGAAAATGAGAGATCAAACGAAACGCGTACCAGATTAGACGCATTGCGCACTGAGCTTCGGATCTCTCAGCTCGAGACACATAACCGATTTGACAGACAGGATCGCTTTATTCAAAATCTGGCCAATGAAATATTCAGACGTAACCAAAGTATGCAGACAGCCATCTGTGACGGTTTTGATAGAATCTGTTTCACGTCCACGGAACACCATAGTGAGCAAATGCTTTATTACCGTCAGCTCATTCGCACCATCCTAGATGCAACAGTCGATTAATCCTTGTACCCATTAAACTTTTACGATGGTACTCATTTTCTTTACCTATCATCTAGTATACTCTA